CAAACTTAATTTATGTATTAAAAACTTTTAATTTAATAATTAAATTATTAAAATTTGATGTAGAAAATATATTTATTTTAAAATATATAGCAATTCCCCTAAAAGAAATATAGTAATTGAAACCCTGAAAAAATGTTTGGATCATTTTCTTTTCAACAGGCCTGATACTTGTATAACTATTTGGTTTGACATGTGATGGGTAATAATTGATTTATGAGAAAGACTGAACGTCCACCCCCAAAATGAGATCGATTGAGATAGATGAAAGAGAAAATAAATAAAGATATTAGAGTAAGAAAATGATAAATATTGTGACGAGATAATAGTAAAAATACTAGAGTAAACATATCCTTTTACGTTTTTTCTGTTAATAACTTAATATCATTAACATATTGTTCTTAATTGACCTCTAAATAGTAAAATTTCACTATTCAAAGTGACGTTAAATATATATAAAGTGGGATATCTAGGCATTGAGGAAAACAATCTCGTAATTTTTTTATCAGTAAAAAATGACAGATTCTAACATGAAGTAGAAAAAAAATGTGCCTTATGTATGAGACACTAAAATGACCTAGAATAAGAGATTTTTAACCAAAAAATATTAAAAAAAGATTACAAAAATATTTGAGAGCCACAACAACACTGCAAGTAATTGCATTGGTAACACAGCGCGTGCAGTCGTGCGAGTACAACCATGGTGACAATGCTACTTGTGCGGCCATAGTGACACTGCGAGTGCGATCGCATGGCCATGGTGACGCCGTAGGTGTAATTGCATTGGTAACACAGCGCGTGCAGTCGTGCGACCATAGTAACACTGCGAGTGTGACCATGGTGACACTACAAGTGTGGCTAGAGTTACACCGCTACACGTACGATCACGGTGATGTTGTTACGCGTGCGGTCATGGTGACGCCGCTATGGTGGTGGTTCGACGGGGATGAGTTGATTAAAAAAAATTATTTTACTGGTTATGTGGATTGTCTTCCTTCAATCTCATACGTTGATTTTTTATTAATATATTAAATGGCTAAAACTAA